CCCTTGTGGTCTCTTCCAACTCTATGATTCTATGATTCTATGAAAGATAGAGTTGCCTGAGGCTTCAATCCTGTGAATGTTAACTTGTATGTCAAACCCACTAACCTTATGCGCGATTTGTATTTAAGTAAATATGCTTAAATCAGGCTGGGTGAATTTAAAAAGAAGTGAGATAAAGAGATAGAGGGAGCATATGGAAGCAGGTACAGGTGGAATAGAGTAAACAGGAGAAAAAAGTTGTCAGGATAGAGACAAGTATATTGTGCATCCTTTGACTGTTCTCTTGTAATGCGACGTGCTTGATAGATCCCATCCTCTTATTCCAGATTAACAGAGTCATCTAGAAGAAACATCTCTTAGGTGAAGCCAGTTAGAATCACCACTCCAGACTGAAAAGTATAACTTGAATATACATAGGCTGCTTCTTAACATGTTTCTGTGCAACACTCCACCTTTTAAACATTTTCTAGGACAGAACACCTCACAAAAACATTTACGATCACCTTGACCACAAATGGATGCTGAAAAGAATTGTGGGTAACTCATCTAAATCAAGCCATTCTTGGAAATGAGAGGAATGAGAAGATCAAGATAAGACTGTGGTGACAGAAAAACAGGGCTAAAGGATCGGAGTCCCTCCAAATGTTACGCTGCAAATGAAACCAGCATAGCTAATGGGGAAGGATCATGGAAGGTGCAGCACTTGCAGTCCATCATTTCACTGAGACCTCCTTGCACTTCCAGGTAAAGGCAGTTACTGATGTAATGCCCTCCAGATTTGTCAGATTGCAATGTTCATCATCCCGGCAGATAACCAAGAACTAGGGACCGGGTGTCGAAGTCTGGGGTGTTGAAGTCTAACACATCTTGAGGGCTACAGGCTAGGGAAGGCTAATGTAACTCAACTCTCAGGCTCCAATTATTGACCTTGTCCCTAAGTGGCTGTCTATGATACCAAGGTGATTCTATTCTAGGGTTGCCGTATTCCTCATATCTGGGCATCTAATTTTCATATTATGCAAATTATTATAATTATGCATATTATTTGCATTCTGATTATGCAAATTCAACACATTAATCATTGCACTTTTTCTACCATTATGTTTCAACCTCAGTACCATTACCAAGTAAGAGCAATCCCCCCCAATCTGGTGTGAAGAGACGGAGGCTTCCAAGCAGCCCCAGAGAGTAAAGGGACTCCCTTTCCTCTCTCAAGGCTACTTGGAAGTGAAGCTCCACTGTGCTGCCTGGCCCTAGGCTCAAAACACCACACAAAACAAGGCCATCTCTGCTTGCCTCCTTTCCTTTCCCACCTTAGAGTCCTGTCAGGGGAAGTGGGGAGGGAATGGAAGAATAAGGTGGCAATGCAGTAGCAACCAGAGCCTGTGCTATCAGTGTCAGTCTTCTTGAACAGTTTCTTGCTTCATCACCACTGCCACATTTTAACCTACCCATCAGTCTGTGACAAAGGAGAAATCCAGGACTTACTGCTTCAACTGGGACATTTTTTTAGTCCCTGCAATGTGGGATTTTTTAGGTTTTCTGGGACACATGGCATGCCTAATTTCCATCACATGTGAAGTATCCACCAATGAGAGGAAAGTATAATTATGGTGCTTGGTGCTCACCAGATCAACGTCTCACATAAATTCTCCATAAGTGGCTGAGGCAAATCACAACCAAGGACAGGGAGGGAGCACATGGTGGAGAACATTTGCTAGGGAACTAGAATGAAAAGGGAAAATCAAAATGAATTTAGGGAGGGCAATAAAATTAAAATAAAAAGAGGGCACTAGACAGGACATAGGATGGAAATACACTAGTTTATTAGAGAAGAAGCCTGGACCCCCCTTGAAGCAGAAGGGAAAACTGGATGGGAAAAGCCACGTGATGAAAAAGGCAGGGACCAGGGAAGGTCCAAGGAAGGGATGGGCAGAGATGATGGGGAGGAGGGGAAGGAAGGCAAAGCAGGTAGAGGGCTGGGTGAGGTATAAGAGGCTGAGAAGGCAGAGGCGGGCAGGGGGGTGGCAGATTTGGTAGTGTGGGTGGCAAGCAATGTGGCAGGGGCTGCCCCAGAGCCACCAGAGGCCTTGTCATTCCCATGGGTGCGCTGGTGACGGTTGAGGTGGGAGCTGCGGCTGAAGCACTTGCCACAGATGCTGCACTTGTAGGGTTTTTCCCCTGTGTGGGTGCGCTGGTGGATGGTGAGCTCTGAGCGCTGGATGAAGGCCTTGCCACACTCCCCACAGGCGTAGGGCTTCTCACCCAAATGAGTGCGCTGGTGGGTCAGAAGGTTGGAGCTGACACTGAAGCACTTCCCGCAGGTGTCACAGTGGTAGGGCTTCTCCCCAGTGTGCATGCGCCGGTGGATAGTCAAGTCTGACTTCTGGATGAAGGCCTTGCCACAGTCCGAGCAGGAAAAAGGCTTCTCTCCAGTGTGGATGCGCTGGTGCTTTACCAGGGCCGAGCGCTGGGCAAAAGCCTTCCCACAATTGTCACACTTGAAGGATTTCTCTGCTGGCGGCAGTGGCGGCTGAGGTGGGATTTTGCCCAGGCTCTTGCCGCAGTCCAAACAGTGACCACTACGCGTAAGGCGTCCCTTGCTGCTATGCAGCTGGTGCTTAAGAACCTGCTTGCCTCCCATGCTGAGGAGAAAGCCCTTGATGTGTTCAGGGCAACGGTGGGCAGCAGCCGCTGCAGCCTGCGCTTGGTGGACTCTCTGGTGCCGGTCAAGATGGGAACTGACTGAGAAGCCCCGGCCACACTGTGCACAGGTGTAGGGACGCTCACCTGTGTGGACCCGCTGGTGCCGCTCCAGGTCGGAGCGTTGGATGAACCGCTTCCCACAGTCACTGCAAGGGAAGGGCCGCTCCCCAGTGTGAATGCGCTGGTGCTGGGCAAGGTTGGAGCTCCGGCTAAAACGCTTACCACAGGCATCACAGGGATAAGGGCGCTCCCCAGAGTGGGTCTTACGGTGCTTTGAGAGTGCAGACCGTTGTCCAAAACACTTCCCACAATCGGGACAGCGGTGGGCAACCACTGGAGCTACACTGGCCGTCGGGGGCTCCTCTGGGTAATTGTGCTGGTGGGTGCGTCTGTGGCGGTCAAGGTGGGAGCTGACTGAGAAGCATTTACCACAGTCCTGGCAGGCATAGGGGCGCTCACCTGTGTGTACCCGCTGGTGCCGTTCCAGGTCAGACTTCTGAGTAAAGGCCTTGCCACAAGCTGAACATGGGAAGGGGCGCTCACCTGTGTGCACCCGCTGATGCTGTGCCAGATTTGAGCTTCGGTTGAACCGTTTCCCGCAAGCCATGCACAGGTATGGCTTCTCCCCTGTGTGGATCTTTTGGTGCTTGGCCAGGATGGAGCGTTGCCGGAAGCAGCGTCCACACTCAGTGCACTGGTGTGGCCTCTCTGTTGTGGGTACACTGTGGCCTCGCCCAGGATCACTCCTGGTCTTCTTCCCACACTCGACACACACAGCAGACTTTTCCACCACTGCCTGGCCCACACACCTTTCTTTTAGCTTCTTAGGTGTTTTCCCTTCCTGCTGGCAAGCAGCTGGGCCTTGTAGTGACTGGTCTTCCTGTAGGCTAGACTGGCACTGGCTGCCACTGGCTTCCCCTTCATCTGGGCTCTCTGATCTCCCTGACGGAGAGTCTGGCTGCTCTGCATTCTCAGACCTGTCCTCTTCAGATTGCAGCTCTTCTTCATTTTCCTCAGCAGCTGAAATTCAATTGGGAAGAGGACAAAACATCACAACCATTTGACCACCAGAGCTGACACTCCCTTTCTCGGCCTGTACTGCCTATCACCCATTATTCTCTTCCCTCAGCTTCCCCTCATTTCTCATTTTCTTCCAAGAAAAGAATGGCCCCGGTACCACAATGGTACTATTAAAAAGGTATTTTCAAGGCATTGGTGGACCTGTGGTCACCACCTCACAACCTACTACTTAAAATCCAGTTGGAGAACATGAAAAATGCAGTGCCTGCTTTGATCAAATGTCTCCTTCTGGAGAAACGCCAGGCAAGAAATGACAACAATAAAAAGTATTGTGCCAACTTAAAGACTAACAAGTGTTAATTGCCATAAACATTTTGTTTGGAAGAACAAGTTTTATTTGGCATAACAAAATACAGACTACAAAGTCAGATCCCTCTGGAAATCCACTACAGGTCAGGCTTCATGATTTTTATGGAAGCAACACAAGGCTTTTATTCCCTCAGTCTATGGTTTACTACCTGAAAATTAGTTGGATGCATTTCAAAATGGATACCAGCCAGGCTTAGCTTAAGGGCTATTTGTTGTTGTTGTGTGCCTTCCAAGTAATTTACGGGGACCCTAAGGTGAACCTATCATGGAGTTTTCTTAGCAAGTTTCTTCAGAAGAGGTTTGCCATTGCCATCCTCTGAAGCTGAGAGAGTGTGACTTGACCAAGGTCACCCAGTGGGTTTTCATGGCTGAGCCAGGATTTGAAACCTGGACTCCAGAGTTGTAGTCCAACACTCAAACCACTGCACCACTCTGGCTCTCTAGGGCCAGACATAGCTATCTGGCATATTTGGCAATGTCCTTTGCTCCACTCTACAGTGAGTTCAAAATTCAGTATTCTGTGCATCTTAGCATTTCTATAAAAAAGAAAAAAAGAAAGTTTCTATCACTTAAGGCTGTAAAGATAGTTTTGATATGGACAATGCTGTGGAGGGTTTTAGCAGGTTTAGCAAGGTTCGTAGTAACCTGAAAAGAAGAGCAATGGCATAATTTCTCCCATTCCTGCAACTGAAAATTCTTTCCTCTTTTTTATAAAGTGCATAAGTATAAGTGTAAAATGACACTAATAAAAAACAGGTAGTGATGGCAGTGGCTGTAAGTTGCTGCTTTTTGCGCAACCTTGAGACCTAGTAATGGCTGGGACCAATCAATTCTGTTTTCTCTCTGTTCCTACTTTTTCCAGTCTTTCATTTATTTCTTCCCATTCTTGCATTTTCCAGTATATATCTGCTAACACACATCTTTGTTCAAAGTTTTGCCAAACCCATGAATTTTTCAATAACACAGTTTTTTTGTACCCACTGCCATTTTTGCATTCTAGTTTTGATTGAAGAACTGTTTCTTAAAGATCAGACAAGTATATTAGTTTAAGAAGTGAAAATTCAGTCACAATTTAGCTCACAATTTAAAAGGCAAATAAGATATATTTCAGTGTTGAGTAGACAACATCTGGGGAGCCACAGGTTCCCCACTCCAGTTCAAAAAGCAAAAATAGGGACAAACAAGGTGTCCTACCAGAGATTAGAAGCAGAAGGGTAACTGTGACGTACACAGTGGGTCGTAGACAACTAGATGCTTGTCAGATGTTGTGAATAACTCATTATAATCCCGAAACACAAATCATACAGGCTTGGCCATGTGGGAGCTATATTCCACAACCTCTGGCGAGGACTAGGTTTGCCTAACTCTGAATGGAGAAAGAGCAAAGTGAAACTATTTTCCATTTCTTAGAAATGCAGCATATGCAGGAGGCATAGGTCATAAACCTTCATGACTCAACATAGTATAGTTTTGCATGTAGAACAACACTACAGATGGCCATTCACTGACTTCTGGACTTAACTGTAGAGCTGCTGTAGCATGTATAAGGCCATTTCCATCTCTGGTGCAAGGTGGATCAGGGAAGCCTTTGACTATGTCCCAGTAGCCAGATGGGAAATGATTATATTATCTGCTGCGGTCCACCAGAGCCCTCTAGCAATCACTGTGGCTAATGTAATTATTTTGTATCTGGCTAAATGGCCAAGCTCTTCTGTAATTCCTCTTCTCATGTTCTCCATCAGGCATGAATGGCTGGAAGGGGTTGAGTTCAGCAACTCAGCAGTAGGTCTGGGAAGGGACTTTGGTCGCTACAAAAGGAGGAAGGGAGTTCCAGTCTCTGCATACACAAGCACAACGTTACATACACAAGCGTAACATTAATGTACACCAGTGCACGACAACAGGATGGTTTCTGCAAAATCCAGCAGCCTTATAGTTCACTGTTATTTCATACAAATGTCACACACACCCTTTTTATTGCCACCGCAGCTCATGCGATGAGACCCGCCCACCTTCATCCTTGGGGCTCTTGGGCACTTCCTTCTTCTGGATTTTCCGCTTCCCTTCCTGGCTCTGCTCCTTCACCAGTTCCCGCAACATCTTCTCCACCTGGCTGCGGCCAGCAGTCTGTAGGATGAGCCCTAGCTGCCGGCGGAGGTCAGCATTCATCCCGCCTTCATCTGAGCCAGCTGCCGTAGAGTCCTGAATTTGGGCCTGTTCTGCTCGGCTCTGTTCTGGCTCCATATCTACACCACAAAGAAACAAGACTGAAGCTAAAAGGAAGAAAGGACTGCCAACTTTCCAAGTCAGGCTACCAACTTACCAAAGGGGGGAAACACCCTGGCTTGTTCATTTTCCTTTACAGTAGTTTGACTTACAGTATTTATTTTATTTCATCCATTTAGTTTAGAATCACAGAATCATAGAACTGGAAGAGACCACAAGGGCCATCCAGTCCAACCCCCTGCCATACAGGAACTCAAAATCAAAGCACTCTCGACCAAATCAAACTCAAAATCAAAGCACCCCCGACCATCCAGCCTCTGTTTAAACACCTCCAAAGAAGGAGACTCCACCACACTCCAAGAGAGTGTGTTGAACAGCCCTTACTGTCAGGAAGTTCCTCCTAATGTTGAGGTAGAATCTCTTTTCCTGTAGCTTGCATCTGTTGTTCCGGGTCCTGTTCTCCACAGCAGCAAAAAATAAGATAGCTCCCTCCTCAATATGACATCCCTTCAAATATTTAAACAGGGCTATCATATTATATCTCACCTTTCTCCCAGTAATGGGACCCAGGGCAGCACTCATTGGGGAAGCTTTTCCAGCATGGGGGTGAACACTATTACTGACTGAGTCTTGGGTCATGTCTACATGGGCCAATTAAACCAGTTTCCACCCACCCTCACTGCGACCTGTCTACATGACGCAGGGTCAAATCCCCAGTTTGAGTGTGAACTGTCTTTACAAGGGAAGGCCAGTTCCGCCTCTAATCTGCCCTATCCCTGCCTACATCAGTTTTTAAAAACTCACCTTTTGCTCTGGATTTTCCTGCAAAATTGCCATTGATGCTGGTACAAGCTGCTCCCTCTGAGATCACAACAAGGCAGCCAGCCATACTGGGCACCATAGCAGCAGGCAGCACAGCATGACACATGTGTAGACAGCCACCCCGCATTGCTACAGAGTGTGGAGGTAACGGGGGATACAGGACAGCTCTGGGACCAGAACACTCCAGAAGCAGCCTGGAGTAGTCTCTGTGAAGTAGATGAGCCCCTAGACATCAAGTTGCTTTAGGGCATAGGTACAGAGTTAGGGAGGAAACTGGGAAACATGTTCCCAAGTGTCAGAAGCAAGACCAACAATGCAAGGCAGCATGTGGGTCATCATAATCCACTCTTGTTCTGATGTTAAGCAGCCAGATTCCTACTGCAGTCAACAGGAGTGAATTGCATTTAATATTATCTATATCCTACTTTTCTACTGCATATATGAAATAACTTATAAAATTAGAAAGAAAACAAAAGAGTAAAAATAAAAGAATAGTAAAAGCAACTAAAAGCAAGTGGCCAAACTATAACAGAGGGAAGATTTGATTTTTAAAGAGGTATTTGGTTTGCAAATCAATAAAGAATTCTTTACAATCTACTCAGAAATCTAAGGAAACCCAAAGCTTCAAAAGGACATTCCTTTGGACTAAAACTCTATCCTTCTGCCCCTCCAAACCCACACACATGATACATTTCTGTGGTGATCTAGAGACCTTCTTCTGATGCCTACACCTCTAATAATACTTCAAGGACTATGACACCAGTCAGAGGAACAACACACAAGGATCACCCCTGCCTCCTCAACACAACTGTAGAAACTAAATCAATATGTCTCAGACCCAGAAAAAGAAGAACTCCACATGGACTCCTCCTGATGGCCGGTGCACAGAACTAGACTTCTACATAGAATGTTTCTGCCGCTGTGCCCAAACAGAAATAATCAACAAGAGATTCAACTTACAACAGAATCTCAGTCGCAAGAACAAGATGCCATACACAGTCTCAAGAACAATCCTAATATTGTCATCAAAGAGGCTGACAAAGGAGGAGCAGTAGTCATCATGGACAGATCTGCCTACATACAGGAGGCTGAGAGGCAACTGTGCAACACCACATTTTACAGAATCCTATATAACAATCCCACAGAGGAGTATTGGAAGGAGTTACACAGGCTGCTCAGGGAATTTCACATGGAGGAGCAAAACCAAATCCTTATTGACACACAATACATAAACAGGGCAACCCTGGATGACCTATCATCTCCAGCATTGGAACACTTACAGTCGGTGCCTCCAAAGATATGGACAATATCCTTAAACCATATGCCACCAACACTCCCAGCTATGTGAAGGACACCACAGACTTCCTACAGAAGATACAATCCATCCACAACCTTCCAGGAAACACCATCTTAGCCACTATGGATGTGGAATCCCTGTACACTAACATACCACACAAAGATGGAATACAAGCGATCAGGAATATCATTCCTGATGGGAACTTATCAGACCTAGCCACCAAGGTATTCTTTTGTATTCAAACATAATTACTTCACCTTTGGTAACAACATATACCTTCAAGTTAATGGCACCACCATGGATACACGCATGGCACCACAATATGCCAATATCTTCATGACCAACCTAGAACAATGCTCCTTAACGCTTGCACTGCAGAATTAATCTACTTGAGAAACATTGATGATATCTCCATAATTTGGACTCATGGAGAAGACTCACTCAAGATATTTCACCAGAGTTTCAACAACTTCCATCCCACCATCAACCTCAGCCTGTAACTATTCTACAAAACAAGTTCCAGAGGATAAATGGACATAAATCAGACATTAGGAATGGGAATACCCTAAAACTGGTGGCAGAACATTTCAATCTCCCTGGGCATTCCATCTCAGACCTCAAAACAGCGGTCCTTGAACAACAGAACTACAAAGGTAGATTGGAAAGAGAAACAGCAGAATTGGAGTTCATCCATAAACTACAGTCCCTCAGCAATGGACTGAACAGGGACAATGGCTTCCTGACCCACTAGAGTTATTTTAACATTATCTGACCCCATCCTCCTATCCTCCCCACTTACAGGCTAGTTTCCAAGGGCAAACTGGACTTGCCACCTCATTTCCATACTCATTTCATGCTGCCAACGTCTTTCTTTCAATTAGTCTCAAAGGTACTACAAGATCTCTCTACAATTCCCAACCCAAATTCAGACAAGTTCTATGCTCCAGGGAATATGTACATGCACGTACACCTTTTTTACTCTTGTTTTAGACTAGAGAAAAAGCATGTCCCCTGAGGTATAATTAACCATTTTGAACTTTTTCCCCCCAGCTCCCCCCCTTTTTTTTGAAAACATGGGAGAGGGGTCCTTAGAGCCACAAAAGTCGCCTTGTGACTGCATACAGCTCACAGGCTACGTGACTCCTATCCATATTTTAGAACAGGGGTGGGAATTGTGCAACACTCCAGATGTTATTGAACTGCAACTCCCAGCAGGTCTCACCAGCATAGCCAATGATGAGGAATGCTGGGAGTTGCAATTCAGCAACATCTAGAGGGAGTCATCCCACCCATGATTTAGCCCAGGGGTGGGCAAATTGCAAGCCATGGGCCACATAGAGTCCCTGATCTCTACTTCTGTAGCTCCTGCAGCCCTAACTCCTACAATTAAAAAAAAAAAACAGGGACACCATTTTGGGGCAACTTTTGCCCCCAAACCATGTAGAAAGCCACCAAAAGGCAGGATCACATAATAAAACACCCCAGCCCAACCCCCAAACCTTGAACTACCCCCACATACTTCCATTTCCCTCTGCAGTCCCTTTCAAGAAGGTGACAGGATGTGACACATCACCAGGGAAAAACAGAATTATTTAGGCTTGCATTAGGGGATGGGGTTCTGGAGAAGGGAAACTGGCCCCTGACTCTCATACAGCTGCCCCCTTGATATAGATTGAGACTGCTGCTTAGATCCTTCCTCTATGCTGACTTACCAGACCCCAGTCCTCTCCTTCGGTGGGACTCAGCAAAAGCGGTTATCCGGGGCCAACTGATTGCGATCTCCTCCGCTGCAAGTGAGGGAAGCAGAGGTTGCAAGTCAGAAGAGGTTGTGGCAGGCCATCAAGATAGAAGCGGCGCATAATCTTTAGGGGGCCACTTTGGAAGAAGAAAACCCAGTGTAATGATAGAGCCCATGTGCTGCTTGCATAAAGATGCCCAGTTGAGGACCTGACACCTCCAGTTACAAGGACTGCATTGCTGGAGATGGCAAAGAGACCCAGAGCTTTAAAAAAATTCTGTCCAAGAGCTCAGAAAATTTACACATTTGGACTATAACTCCCAAAATCCCCCATCTGTACATCACAGTATATAGCTTTGGGCTAGATGGACAGACAGTCTGACCTGAACCTAAAGCCAATTGTTAGTGCCAACCATTGACTGCCTCTGCACTGCAGAATTAATCCAGTTTGACACTGCTTTTAACTGCTACGACTTGATGCTATGGAATTCTGGGATTTGTAATTGTTTGAGATATTTAGCCTTCTCTTTCAGTGAGCTCTGGTACCAAAATGAACTACAAATTTCAGGATTACATAGCATTGAGTCATCACCATTAAAGCGATGTCTGGAATATTGCCCCTGGACTCATTCTAATGAGTTCCTATAAGCAGAAAGCACAGTCTGAGCTTGGTAAATTGTTCATTTACAATTTGGGACAGTGGCCAATTTTTGTGTCCCCAAACCCACTCCCTGTGGGCCACATGCACATGTCAACACACGCTGGAAGTGATGGCTTTACTACCATTTGTTTCTTTTAATGTTTACAGCCAAAGAAACAGGGTTGGGGGGGCACATCGCCATATTTGTGTGCAATTTCAAGCCTTCTGGAGTGGTTTTCAGTAATAATATCAGGGAATAATAATACATTTCACAGAATCATAGAATCATAGAGTTGGAAGAGACCACAAGGGCCATCCAGTCCAACCCCCTGCCATGCAGGAACTCCCAATCAAAGCATCCCTGACAGATGGCCATCCAGCCTCTGCTTAAAGACCTCCAAGGAAGGAGACTCCACTACTCTCCAAGGGAGTGTGTTCCACTGTCGAACCGCCCTGCGAAAATTTGCAGGGCTCAGGACCACAAAAGTGAGATTCAATGACTGTACGCATCCCATGTCTTACGCCAACATCCTGCTGTTTAACTAAAGGCGTGCAAAAATAAGCATTTACCCAATGAAATCACATTCTCATAGTTTTCCTGCATGTTGTCAATCACCGAGTGTTGCAGTGAAGGCTGCCAACCTCTGAAACAACAAACATCCTCCACACTGTACCACTGGGCAGGAATCGCTAGTAATCTTCTGGGGCAGCATTCCCCATCGCAGCATCCGACGTCAGTGCCATGGTGGCCACCGAGACGTTCCTGCACACCTGGAAGCTTCCTTGCTGTTCTCTACACCTTGAAAAGAAAAGAAAATACTGTAAAATCCAAGCTGATCTGAATGTTGGGCATGCTGTCTTGAAAAATCTAAGACAGTGGCCAGCTTAAGGAAAAGCAGGCTGTCTGTCTCCTGCAATAGTTTATGGGGGGTTGCAGACTGCCAGAAATAGTGCAAATTGAGTCCACTTTTAGGGTTAGGGTTAGTGCTAGGGAATCATGGGAATTGTTCTTTTTTCCCCTGAGACATTGAGCCTTCTCAGTCAGAGAGCTCTGGTGCCACAATAAAATACAGTTCCCATGATTCCCTAGCACTAACCCTAACCCTAAAAGTGGACTCAATTTGCACTATTTCTGGCAGTCTGCAACCCCACTAAGAAAAACAGACAGCTGCTTGGATTGAGACTCATCTCTCTGGCTGCACCTACACTGCAGAATGAATACAATTTGACACTTCTTTAACTGCCATGGATCAATGCTATGGGGCCAAATACTTGTTGAAATAGGATATAGCCATACTAGGTAAGCAATTATAGAAGTTTGATGCCACTTTAATTGTCACAACTCCAGAGCCTAGAGAACTGTGCGACTTGTAGTTTGTTAAGGTACTTAGGGGGGTTGCAGACTGCCAGAAATAGTGCAAATTGAGTCCACTTTTAGGGTTAAGGTTAGGGTTAGGGTTAGGGTTAGGGAATCATGGGGACTGTAATTTATTGTGGCACCAGAGCTCTCTGACAGAGAAGGCTCAATGTCCCAGAAAAAAAAACAATTCCCATGATTCCCTAGCACTAACCCTTAAAGTGGACTCAATTTGCACTATTTCTGGCAGTCTGCAACCCCCCTTAGACTCCCTAATGAAGAAAAGAATGATATGTTTTTTTTAAATGTATAGTATGTTTTGTATCTTGTATATGTTTCATTATATTTTCTACTATGGTGACATTGTTTCATTGAATAATTTGGTATGATATAAATTGAATAAAAATATTTTTTTAACAAAATCCCTAACCCACTCTCCTGTACTACGGCACTAGTGTATTCTGAAAGAGAATTCTAAGTACCTCAACAAACTACAGATCCAGGCTTCCATATGACAGAGCCATGACAGTTAAAGAGGTAACTAAGGCTGCTGCCACACTGCAGAATTAATGGAGTTTGACACTCATTTAATTGTCATGGCTCCATCCTATGGAATCCTGGGATTTGTAGTTTGTTGTGGCACCAGAACTCTCAGATAGAAAAGGCTAAATATCTCACCAAACTACAAATCCCAAAATCCTACAACCTTGAGCCATGGCAATTAAAGTGGTGTCAAACTGCATTAATTCTTCAGTGTAAATACAGCCTAAAAAGTGTCATAATTGTGTAGTGTTGATACATCCCTAGGTCTTGCTGTCAGTGAAAGAAATCAGTTTGTAAGCTGTAGTACCCAAGGTCTCCTTCCACTCACCCATCTCGATCCATGGGGAAAGGTGGGTAAGAAATAAATACCATTGCTATATTATTATACTTGGACTATGACGCTGGAGACTAGGGTTCGAATCCCAGCTCGGCCATGGAAACCCACTGGGTGACCTTGGGCAAGTCACACTCTCTCAGCCTCAGAAGATGGCAATGGCAAACCCCCTCTGAAGAAACATGCCAAGAAAACCCCATAACCTTAGGGTTGCCATAAGTTGGAAATGACTTGAAGGCACACAAAAACAACAACGTGAGAGCCAGTGTGACGTAGTGGGTTTCCGTATTGGACTATGACTCTGTAGACCAGGGTTCGATTCCCAGCTTGGCCATGGAAACCCAGTGGGTGACCTTGGGCAAGTCACACTCTCTCAGCCTCAGAGGATGACAATGGCAAACCTCTGAACAATCTTGCCAAGAAAATCCCATTATAGATTCGCCTTATGGTTGCAATAAGTTGGAAATTACTTGAAGGCATACAACAACAATAACAATTATTATATTATTATTACTATCTACTACATCCTCTGATCTGACAGAGAGTTAATGGAGCATAAGCCAAGCCTTTTCCCACTTTCCAAGCCTAAATGCAACTGAAATTCAGGTACCCAAGATAACTGGGCCCAGTAAAGTATGGAAGCAACAGATTCAAATTCAAGGCAAAAGAAAAAGAAAGCACTGCACAACTAACTTACGGAATTCATATCCACAAGAGGTCGTGATGATGTCCACTGGTTCAGATGGCTTGGAAAGGGACCCGAAAAGCAACTTCATGGAGGGCTATGTCTCTCCTCAGTTGTCAAGATGCCAAGGTAGAGCCTCCCCATCCAGGAGCTGTCTACCTAAGGATAAACACCTTCTGGGGAGACATTGCAGGGAAAGGATTGTCACCTTCTCACTCTGCTTGGGAATTTCCCCAAAGCATATGGAAGGCCCCTGGGGATGCTCTCCAACAAAAGTTTTTTAAACCCACTGAGTGACCTTGGGGAAGTCACACTCTCTCAGCCTCAGAGGATGGCAATGACAAACCCCTTCTGAAGAAACTTGCCAAGAAAATCCTACGATAGGTTCGCCTTTACGGTCACCATCACAGTCAGTGAAGACTTGAAGGCATGCAACAACTTCTTTTTTTTAAATGTTGATTTTATACTATTTCAACCGGGCTTTTTAAAAATTGTTGTTATATAAATATATAATCATGGCAGAGTGGCTTTTCTTCGGAGCATACATGTCAGGGATGCTTTTAGCTTTTGTAAGTCTTTAATTTTTATTTACTTTTCTTACTTATTTATGTATCAACTTTATACTGTTTTAACTGGATTATTTTAATGGGCTTTTAAAAAACTGTTGTTACATAAATATTTAATCATGGCAGGGTGGCTTTTCTATGGAGCGCACCTTTAAGGATGCTTTTAACTTTTGTTTGTCTGTGTGTCTGTCTTACTTATTTATTTATTATTTTTCTTATTTATTAATGTATTCACTTTATACTGTTTTAACTAGATGGTTTTAATTCGTTAAATTTTTTTGTTTTATTATTGTAAAGTTCTTAACAGTGGTTGTTTTTTTTTTTTTTATCTTGTGAGCCAACTTAGGTCCCTTCCTGGGAGAAAGGTGGCATTAAAAATTATATATATACATATATATATATATATATATGTATATATATACACACACATACATATATATAATTTTATATATATGTATGCACATATATATATATGTGTGTGTGTGTGTATTATATGTATTTTATATATATATATATATATATATATATATGATATAGATAGATAGATAGATAGATAGATTATATATATGTATGTGTATACACACTAATTAAAATAAATATTCTGCATCTGATTTCAGTGGGACTTTTAGCCTCAGTTAGAGGGAAAGAAGAAGAACTGCAGCCTGGATCCCTCCATCCCTCTTGCTCAATTTCTGAGTCTCTCCCTTCCAAGAGATGGAGATTATTATATTGTATATTGATTATATTGATTGATTGATTGCAATCTTATTTCCACTTCCCTTCCACAGTCCTGGAGAGTCCAGTTTTTCCAAAAATTAATGGCTAGAGGAACCTGGGTTGCCTCCTCCTCCTCCTCCTTCTTTCCCAGGAAAGGATGCTTGCAAGCTGGATCTGGTCCCTGGGTGGGCAAAGCAGGGATCCCCCTGGATCAATAAGGATCTATCGGTAGGACCAGCACCAGCAGCCTTCTTTTTCTTCTTTTTCTACTGACCCAGGAAGCTCAACCCCGGATATGGCTGCCATCAAGGAGGAAAAAAGACAGCAGCCCCCTTAAAACTGGAGAGAAGCAGCAGCCAGAGCCCTCTGCTGGCTCCTGAGCCATTCATTCCTGCTTCAGCCTCAAGATTGCACAAAAGCCCTCCCAATCTCAAAGAGGATTTCTGCATCCACACTGCAGAAATAACCCAGTTTGACACCGCTTTAACTGCCATGGCTCAGTGCTGTGCAATTCTGGGGACTGGTAGTTTGTTCTGGTACCAAGAGCTCTCTGGCAGAGAAGGCTAAATGGCTCACCAAATCCCAGAATTCCATAGCAGGGAGACATGGCAAAGCGGTGTCAAACTGGATTATTTCTACAGTGTGGATCCAGCCCAAGTAGTATTAGGATTTGAAGTAGCTAGTGAGGGAGGAAGAAGAGAAGGAGAAATAGTAATAAGAGAATGAAGCCTTTTCCTTTTTCTCTTTCTCTTTCTTTCTTTCTTTCTTTCT